ATTTTTGGGGTTCCTGGGGGTATTTTTTGGGGTCCATGGGGTATTGGTGTCCTGGGAGTGTTTTTTGAGTCCTTGGAGTATTTTGAGGTTCCTGGGGGTATTTTGGGGTTCTGTTGGTATTTTTGGGGTTCCTGAGGGTATTTTTGGGGTTCCTGTGGGTATTTTTGGGTTCCTGTGGGTATTTTTGGAGTCCTGTGGGTATTTTTGGGCTCCTGGGGGTATTTTTGGCTTCCTGGGGGGATTTTTGGGGGTCCAACCCCTCTGTACCCTCCCCCAGATCGTTCTCCCCCCACACCTGGAGAGAATTCGGGAAAAATTGGCCGAAAACATCCACGAACTTTGGGCTCTGACCAGGATTGAACAAGGTTGGACGTACGGACCGGTGAGTCGGAGAATTCCCACAAAAAAATTCACCGGGGGGAACCCCAAAACCCACCAGGAACACCCCAAAAATTCTCCAGAACCGACTCAAGAACCCTCCAAAAAAATCCAAGTTCCTTTTGGGGGCTCCTTGGTCCTTTTTGGGGAAAATTTGGAGGGTCCTTGATCCATTTTGGGATGTCCTTGGTCCATTTTGGGATGTCCTTGATCCATTTTTGGGGATTTTTGGTCCATTTTGGGGTGTCCTTGGTCCATTTTGGGATATCCTTGATCCATTTTGGGATGTCCTTGATCTATTTTTGGGGATTTTTGGTCCATTTTGGGGTGTCCTTGATCCATTTTGGGATGTCCTTGATCCATTTTTGGGATTTTTGGTCCATTTTGGGATATCCTTGGTCTATTTTGGGATGTCCTTGGTCCATTTTGGGATGTCCTTGATCCATTTTGGGGATTTTTGGTCTGGGATGGGATGTCCTTGGTCCATTTTGGGATGTCCTTGACCCATTTTGGGGATTTTTGGGCCATTTTGGGATCTCCTTGATCCATTTTGGGATGTCCTTGGTCCATTTTGGGATGTCCTTGATCCATTTTGGGATGTCCTTGGTCCATTTTGGGATGTCCTTGATCCATTTTGGGATGTCCTTGGTCCATTTTGGGGATTTTTGGTCCATTTTGGGATGTCCTTGGTCCATTTTGGGGATTTTTGGTCCATTTTGGGATGTCCTTGGTCCATTTTGGGGATTTTTGGTCCATTTTGGGATGTCCTTGGTCCATTTTGGGGATTTTTGGTCCATTTTGGGATGTCCTTGGTCCATTTTGGGATGTCCTTGATCCATTTTGGGATGTCCTTGGTCCATTTTGGGATGTCCTTGATCCATTTTGGGATGTCCTTGGTCCATTTTGGGATGTCCTTGATCCATTTTGGGATGTCCTTGGTCCATTTTGGGATGTCCTTGATCCATTTTGGGATGTCCTTGGTCCATTTTGGGATGTCCTTGATCCATTTTGGGATGTCCTTGGTCCATTTTGGGATGTCCTTGATCCATTTTGGGATGTCCTTGGTCCATTTTGGGATGTCCTTGATCCATTTTGGGATGTCCTTGGTCCATTTTGGGGATTTTTGGTCCATTTTGGGATGTCCTTGGTCCATTTTGGGTGTCCTTGTCCCATTTTGGGATCTCCTTAGTCCATTTTGGGATGTCCTTGGTCCATTTTGGGTGTCCTTGTCCCATTTTGGGATCTCCTTAGTCCATTTTGGGATGTCCTTGGTCCATTTTGGGATGTCCTTGATCCATTTTGGGATGTCCTTGGTCCATTTTGGGATGTCCTTGATCCATTTTGGGATGTCCTTGGTCCATTTTGGGATGTCCTTGATCCATTTTGGGATGTCCTTGGTCCATTTTGGGATGTCCTTGATCCATTTTGGGATGTCCTTGGTCCATTTTGGGATGTCCTTGATCCATTTTGGGATGTCCTTGGTCCATTTTGGGATGTCCTTGATCCATTTTGGGATGTCCTTGGTCCATTTTGGGATGTCCTTGATCCATTTTGGGATGTCCTTGGTCCATTTTGGGGATTTTTGGTCCATTTTGGGGATTTTTGGTCCATTTTGGGTCTCCTTGGTCCATTTTTGGGATGTCCTTGTCCCATTTTGACATGTCCTTGGTCCATTTTGGGATGTCCTTGCCCTATTTTGGGGGGTCCCCATGGCTTGGGGGTCTCTTTTTGGGGGTCCCCACGGTTTGGGGGTCTCTTTTGGGGGTCCCCAAGCCCAAGAGGATTTTTTTGGGGTCCCCCCAGGTCCGGGACGACATGCGACGTCTTCACCCCTGTCTGCTGAGCTTCCAGAACCTTCCGGACCCCGAGAGGGGCTACAACCTCCAGATGTCTGGGGAGACCCTCAAGTAAGGGGGGGACACAGCAGAAATTTGGGGGGGGGTCCCTCCCCTCGGGGTGTACCCCCAAACCCCCAGGGGAAGAGTTTAGGGGGTTAATTTTGGAGATATCCCCCCCAAAATAACGAGGGAGGTTGGAGGATCTTCGTTCTCCCCTCGAGGGTTTTCAGGTCCTTCCAAGATTATTTTGGGGTTTTTTTTGGGGGGTCTCCTCGATCCT